GCTTGCCCCTGGCTTCAGCACCTACAACTTGTCATGACAAGGGCACATTTTATTGAACATTTTATTTAATGAGCAAGTCATTAGTATGACAAACATGTCCCTCACTGCCCTTGCCAGAAGATTCTCGACACAGCACAGTTGGGGGCGTGGGCATAATCTCTCTCCCTTGTTAAGCATTTATATATATTTAGTGTTGGACTAGTCTCTTGAGACTAATCCAAGTTCCCGGCTTTCGGATAAGAGACACAAACTCAGGCTAAGGACCTGACTTGAGTGATTCAGCAGCACAGCTGAGACACAGTTGCACAAAGCCCGCCCCAATCTTTTCAGCTGCTCTTTTGCAAAGAAACCATTGTGGGGGAGAGGGTTGGGGTGGGGAGGGAAACTAAAAACTACCGCCTACCAAGTGTGTACTGGAAACCAGGTGCTTTTTATAAATTGGTGCTAGATCTTATCATAATCCTCCAGGGACACATTTTAATCCCCATTTTGCAGATAGGCAAGGTGAGGCTCAAAGAGGAAAAGGCACCTGCCCAAGGTCATGGAGCCGGGAGCTGGAATTGGTACCCATTTCTTTTCCCTACGCCAAGGTGGCAAGTGATAGTCCATATACTCTATATAGCTCATCACCCGTGTTGGATGGAGAAGATTGAAAAAAACAGTAAAACATTTCATGACTCATGAAAATGTTATGGAACCCAAATTTTAATGTCCATAGAGTTTTACCAGAACACAGCCACCCCTTACATTTATGTGTTGTCTGTGACTGCTTTTGTGACATGATGGCAGACTTGAGTATAGTCATGTGTCATGCAGTGACAGGGACACCTGAGAAACTCATCGCCAGGAGATATGGCATTGTGTCGATGTCATGGCAGGTTCTTTCAACTCTAGATGGTGATCTCGTGCACAGCTAGGCTACAAACCTTCCCAGCTTGTTTGTGTGCTGAGTGCAGAAGGCAGTAAACACAATGGTAAGTGCCTGTGTACCTAAACACAGAAAAGGAACAGTAAGAACACTAGGCAATTGGGACCTTTCTGTCCTGTCATCACCTTATGTGGTATATGTGGTTGGGCACTGACTGAAGGCTGGGAAAACTTGTTATGTGACTCATGGCTGGAGTTATAACAGAGTTGTTTGGGACCCAAAGCCTAAAATACTAACTAGCCGGCCTACTGTGGAAAGTGTTTGCCCACCCCTGCCCTACACAACTCCTGTGGGGTCTAGAAGGTATGCAACCCCCTCCCCCACACTCCTGCACTGGCTGTTTTCTGCACAAAGGGATCAAGTGCAGGGGACTAGGAAGGGCTGACACGAGCCTTTCCTGTGCATGCCCTGTGTGGTCCCCTGGGGAAAGGGCCTTTCCATCATTAGGTCACCTGGATGTGCTCCTTTTTCTTAAGGGTACAGAGGTATCAGTGGAACTGGGTGGGGAGGAGCTTGACACTTTCTTCTGTGATTCAGAGCTGGCCCTGGATGCCACTGTGAGGCCTGCTCCTGACACTGACACTTCAGTGCTGGAGGAGGCCAGTGTGATGTCCAAGAAAAGGGAACCGGTAATTTCTGAGCTCCTAGGTTCCAGGAACTTCTCTATGTGAGACTTGGTTTCCAGTCTCTATTGTGGAGGTGGAGTTACTCACTTCTCAGAGTTCTTGGGAAACTAGGAAAAGGAATTTATTTGTTCATTAGACAAAACTCCTGGGTCTATTCTGTGCCAGACACAGCACTGAGATCTGTGATATCAGGACATGGGCCTATTCTTCAGGAGTTTATGATCTTGGGGGGAGGAGGAGCAGACATTAGACTAGTAGAATGTGTCAAGAGAGGAGGCTGCATGGGGTACAATGGGACCATGTGTAGCCTGGGAGGTGGCCAAAGTGTGGGCATGACAGGAAGCTGGTACAGTAACAGTGGTAGGAGCCAGACGAGGCAGAACCTTGGAGACTGGGATAAAGATTTCGTATTTCATTCCAAGAGCAACAGAAAGCACAGGGCATAATCCAACTCACTTTTGGAAAAGTCTCTCTGGCTACAGAGGGGCCGGTCAGGGGCCGGGGGCAACTGCGGTTCCTTGGCAAGGGGAGTGTTGGGAGGATGAGGGGAGACATCTGACTGGTGCCAACCCTCCAGGCACCAGGGTGCAGCCAAGCCAGGGCCATGAGTACAGAGGCTGTGCACAAATGAGGAAGTACCACACTGATAGGACCAGTGTTTGTGAATTTTATCTCCTGGCCTTGGGAGATTTTGAGAAGTGAGTGGAGAAGGACTCAAAGAGCACTGGGCAGGGGCTCCAGCCTCTCCTTAGCTTCCTCTGTATCCCAGACAGGTCACTTGCCTCCCTGTGCCTTGATTTACCCTTCTGATATCTATAGGACTAGCATGAGGTGTTGGCTAAAAGTAGGGCCAAGTTCAAGTCGAGACACCATTTCATTATGGAAAGAGCTCAGACTTTGAGGTCAGTCCGGCTTGGTTTTGAATCCTAGCTCTGCCATATGTGAGGCCATCGGGCCCAACACCAGCTACTCTGGTTCTGGGAGGCCACTGCTGATCCGCACACTACACTTTGGGAACCACAGGTCTTCTCTGAGGAGAGGGCCTCCATTTTGCTCGCGGCTATACTGCAAATAGCACTGGCAATAGGCTTCTAGCAAGTCGTTGGTAAATGCTTTTTTTTTTTGATAAGGGATCTCCCTAGGTAGCACAGATTGGCCTTGAATTCTCAATGCTCTTGCTTTGGGCTCTTGAGTGCTGGGATTACAGGCTTGTACCACCACACCTAGCATGGTGAATGCTTTTGAGTGAATGAACACCAAATGGATTATTTTGGCTGGGGCAGAGGGTGGTGGAGGGCTTGTCTTGGGGAGGGTGACAGGAAGTGAACCAGGAAGTGGAAGTGATGCAGGGATCAAATCAGGAAGGGTCTCTAATGCCAGGTAGCAAGCTGGGACTTGTAGCAGGCTAAATAATGACCCCCCTAGTAGATCCGTGTCCCAATTGTCTGAGAATGTTACCTTACATGGCAAAAGGGACTGTGCAGGTGTGACTAAGCTAAAGAATTTGGGATGGAAAGATCTGAATTTTCCAGATAAGGTCCATGGGACCTTTTCCAAGGGAGGTAGAGGGCAATTTGGGGACAGAAGAGGAAGAGGTATGAGGATGGAAAGGCAAGACTGACATGAGGGGAGTGAGAAACTGACAGAGCCAAGGAGTGCAGAGGGCATTGGAAAGCTGTAAGTGATACAGCACCTGCCTAAAAGCTGGAAAAGACAAGGAAGGAAGGGATGCTCCCAGAAGTCCCCAGAAGGAGACAGCCCTGCCAAACAAACAAACAAACAAACGAGCACCTTCATTTCAGATGTCCTGAGCTGCAATAGAATAAATGTGTGTGATTTGTTCCAGAAGCCATAAGAAATGAATGGGGGTGGGGTGGGGTGGTGCTATGCAGGTGTGAGGATGCAGTAGAAGTTACTGAGCTCTGGTTGTGTGGAGAGATCTGGAAAAGGGTGGGGACAGTGAGATTGTGGAGGAGGCAGGTGATTCGCCCAAGGGAGAGGGGAAGTGGGACTGCGTTAAGGGGAGACAGTAGGACTGATGAAATGGCAGATAGAGAACCTGGCTGCAGAGAAAGCAGGACAAGCCAGCTTGGCCATTCTTTCCCAGGGTCTCCCCTGGACTGACTGTGTCCATCACTCTGTCTAGGGCAGGCTGGCTCAGCCCCCTTCAGAATTCTCGGTTCAGGCAGACATCCCAACCTTGGCAGTGATGCGGGGCTGTGGGTCAGTGTCTTGTCCCCAGACAGAAAGCAGGAAGAGAAAGGAAGGTACAATGCTGTACCATGCTTTCTACAAGCAGCCGTTCACTACTGTCCCAGCAGCTGAAGCTCAGAGCTCCTGCTCCTTGGTGCCACTCAGGTCTGTGCTGTGGGTTCCCCTATTACCTGCAGTGGCTTTGTCACCAGCAACCTTCTCTACATGTTATTCTGATACTGTTGATTTTCTCAGCCTGCACACCTCTTGGAGCTGGACTCCTGGAATTTCCTCCCTCTTGTACCTTCTGCACTCTGCACACCCAATGTTCTACAAGCAAGCTTTTACTTTTTAAATAGCCTAGCCTGGTCCTCATGGACCAGGCTTTTACTTTTTAAATAGCCTAACCTGGTCCTCATGGACCAGGGTGTCAGCCTCTTCCCTGTCTGCCAGTTTACTCTGCTGATCCAATTCAGAAGAGGTAACCACAGCTCTCATTGCATAGCACAGATCTGAGACTGGGTTGTAGCACCGTGGTAAGGCACTGGCCTCGCATGTGTAGGGCTCTGGGTTCCATCCCCAGTATTGGAAAAAAAAAAAAAAAAAGCAGCCGAATGTGCTTGGGTCAGCCCCACCCTTGCTTCTGGCCACTTGCATCTTCCCCTAAGAGCCACAGTACAGCATCCGTAGTGCTGGGTTGGCCTTCAAGGCCCCACCTTCCCAACTCTGATGTCCTCTTTCCCCACTGATCTGAGTGCTTCCAAGAGAAGAGCTGATACACAGCAAGTGCTTAGTAAATGCTCAATGGACCTGAGTTTCTCTCTTAGCTCCACAGTGGCCCTATCAGATGGCAGCAGAAGTACATGGCTGCTTTGGTGCTCTCCTGAGCAGCTCAGCTGAGCACTCATGTCTTCTAAGTGGCAGAGTTTGGCTTCAACCTTAGGGCTCTTGATCAGAAGGGCAACATGGCTAGAAAGAAGGGCCCCAAGAGCTCAGGAGTAAGGAGACCTCTTTCAGGTCCCAGCTGAGTGGCCCTTGACAATTCCTCTGAGACATTTAATGTGACCCTTTTGGAAAAGAGGTAAAAAGTGCTACCTTGGGGAGCCACTGGGAGGTTGATATGAGACAATGGCTGCAAAGTGCTCACAGAGGTTCTCAGCACACAAAGTAGAGCCACCTACATAGTAGTCACCTTGACCTTGTCATGCCTAGGAAGCCCCCACAGGACTCTCATCCTGCACACAATCTGTTACCTGTCTGTGGCTCCCTGGGGGACCGTGATTTCCATCCCACTCCACACCTGGAGAGTTAGGGCCTTCTCTTTCTGCCGTCTGGGTTCTCGGCTTTGGCTCCTGCACAGCAGGGACTTGTTTGACCTCAGGGAAGTTTCGTGGGAATGGCGGCTGGCCAGCCTGCAACAGAAGAGCTGCTGGTACGCAGTGCGGAAGTCTCTGTTCAGGGCGGCATAGAGGATGGGGTTTAGGGCTGAGTTGGCATAGCCCAGCCACAGAACAATGGCTTCGAACACCTCATTGACAGCACTGTCTCCGTTCAAGCCACGATAAACAAACACAGTAAAATAGGGAAACCAGCAGAAGATGAAGGCGCCCATAACGGCGGCCAGTGTCACGGTGGCTTTGTGTTCTTTGATGGTGGCCACCCTCCAGGAGCTGACGTGGTTGATCCTCTTGGCCTGCTCCCGGGCGATCTTGAAGATCCGGTAGTAGGTGATACACATGATCAGCAGAGGCAGGTAGAAGGTGACCAGCCCATCCACCAATCCGTACACTTCATTGACCTGGACTTTGCACTTAGACGAAGTGTCATTACCCTTGCCAGTCTCATTCCTGCTGTTCCAACCCAGGTGAATAGAAAGGAAGGACAGAGTGATGGAAATGACCCAAATGAAGACCAGAGAGATGGCCACCCGAACTGGGGTGACCAGCACAGGGTACCGCAAAGGGTCTGTGACAGCACAGTAGCGATCCAAGCTGATCATGAAGAGGTTGAGGATGGAGGCCGTGCACAGCATCACATCTAGGCTGGTGTAGATGTTACAGAAGACCTTGCCAAAGTGCCACTTGTAGGACAGCTGGTAGATGGCAGAGAAGGGCAGCACCAAGAGGCCAAGGAGCAGGTCAGTGACTGCCAAGGACACAATGAAGCAATTGGTCAGACTGCGGAGCCGGCGGTTCAAGCTGACGGCCAGGCAGACGATCACATTGCCCGCAACAGTGATCAGAATGAGGATGGTGAGGATCACGCTGATGGTGACCTTGAATGCAGTAGAGTCCAGGCCAAAGGAAGAGGCTGTACCATTGGATGCCATCCTGGGATCCAACAGCTCTTGCCCCTGCCCTTTGGCCACTTCTATGCCAGCTCCAACCAGTGGCCTCCAGGCTCCCAACAGAGTCTAAAAAAAGTGTCCAAGTTTGGGGAAGTGTCAATGGCTGGCCCAATGCTATTCTTCTAGAAATAAATTAAGCGGTCCTTATTAGGTGTGGGGCATGAGTAGGAATGAAGAAGTAAAGGCCTGTGGCTCACACTCCAGTCCTCAGCTGGTCCCCTGAGGAGCCAGCTTCCTCCTGGGCCCAGGGTAGGTCTCTGCTCCCTAGGTTTTGCATGGAGGCTGAGGCACTGGGGCATGAGTCTAGAGGTGGCTTTGGTTTAATGCAGGAGGAATCACATGTAGACACGGTCGTATCTTTCCCCATGGCTGGCACCTGTTCCCATCTGTGTGACAAGGTCAGGAACTAGTGGTCCCCCTCTCCTGGGTCATTGGAAAACAGGAGCTGAAAAATGCAAAGGTTGAAGGTTGAGCCCTTTAGAACTGGACTGAGACCATAACCTGTTTCAAGGTGAGTCTTTCTAGATCTCCATCACCTGGCAAAACACCAGCAGGCCTGGGGGCCATGGGTACCTCTGCTTTGGAGAGACTGAGGCAGACATGATACAGGAAGGGGACACTATGTTCTGTGAGAAACAGCTGGAAGAGCATGGAACATTTATACTGAAAAAGGATGGATCTAGACATAGAATTAAACTCCAGGAGGACAGAGCCTGCATTTGTTTGTTCCCTGCTGGTTCCTGGTACCTGAGCTCATAGATAGGAATTAAACACCTTATAAATAAATGAGAAAATGAATGAATGAAGAAATGCAGTGACTTCATTCTTATAAAGTGCTGAGAACAGTATCTGGTGCTGTGGTTTTTACAAAATGTCATCACACGTCATACTCCAAGCCAGGGGAAGACAAACTTTTTCAGAAAGAGGTCAGGTGGGATGTGTTACCTGCTTGTAGTCTGCACGGGGTCTGTTGCAACCACTCGGATCTGCCATTAGGGCATGGAGGCACCCGTGTCAGACCATGCAAGTGGCTGGCCTTCAGGAAAACTTCGTGGTACACATGGAAATGTGAGTTTCATATAACTTTCACGTGTTGCAAAATATTCTTGATTTTTTTTCCAATGATTTGAAAGCCATTGTTAGCTCTTGGGAACCAACCAGAGGGCTAGATTTAGCCTAAGGGTTGTCACCTGTTGGCTCTCTCTGTAGCTTGTCAACTCCGCCCTGCCTCAAAAACCTTCTCTAAATCTTACTGGTCTTATTAGGCAGCACATGTGGTTCCACATCTGGGTCAGTTGGTACAGAACTTTCCCATCCTCCCAATGGTTGCATAACAGTCCTTGGATGAGGCTGAACATGGTTTATTCTAACACCCCTGTGTCACCTTCTCAGGTATTTGGGTGATTCTGTCCTCCCTTTCTTCTTCCTTCCTCCTGCAACTATCATTTCAATAAAATAGCTGCACACACTAGGCCTCCTGGTCACCAGATCACCTCCAAGATGCCCTCTGAGTGGTGGAGTTTTATGCTCCAAGCTGACAAGAAACAAGCTAAGGCCTTGCTTGATTCCTGGCCCTTTCACACAAGCTCATCCTGGTTTACCAGAGAGCAGTCAGCAGGCAATTTCCCAAGGTCTGAGAGTATGTAGAGATCAAGTTGACAGCAGAACCCCTCTCAGAAGCAAGCTAATCCCCATGGGACATAAATGCAGCCTCTACCAGCCTCTTGCGTGGAGCTGTTTTGCAACCTGAATGTGAAATGTGTCATTGGATCATAAGACACTGTTGGAGCAGGGATCAGGGTTCCTGATCACCTTCTGCCACTCCAGCTGGCTCAGTCACCCAGTCTTGCAAGCTGAGCTTCTGGGTATTATTTTTAGAAGATCTTTTCATTACATAAACAGCCCAAACAGCATGGGCCTCAGTGCCACACTTAATTAACTTTGGAGGGGGTAGCGATAGGGCATGAGTTTTTAGAATCCTTATTTGTGATTTTAAAAAAGGTTCTCTGAGTTTCCTTAACAGCTGGGTTTAGACATTTTGGCATTGGGCTGGTATTTTACTTATTGTTTAGGGGAGTCTTTGAATCTGAGTGAACTAGCTCTCAATGTAATTAGAAATTCCTTCCTTTCCTTTCCCTCCCTTCCTCCCTACCTCCCTTCCTTCCTTCCTTCCTTCCTCCCTCCCTCCTTTCCTGCCTCCTTCCCTTTCTTCCTCCTTTCCTCCCTCCTGCCCTCTCTCACTTCTGTTTTCTTTAACAAATATTTTTCGGAGAACCCACAATGTGCCGGTGCTGTTCCAGGTGTTGTGAATGGATGTGATTCTTATCTTCATGAATTTTTCAAAGAACCACTTCTGTGGTGTTTCTATTTACAGCCCAGTTCCTCAGGTGACCATTTTGAAGGCAGGTGCTTTTGTGCAGAGCTGTCCTGCCCCATCGCCCTGTGGGTAGAGCGAGCTCCCTAGAGGGTCATAGCACTAACTTGTGGACTAACTTTCAATGGCTCCTTTTATGCCTACAAGAAAGAATCATTATTGTCACCATCACAATTAATATAAAAAGACACTTTCTTGAACTTGCCTTTCAAACTTCCAAAGCAATGATATGCTCATTACAGTAATTACATGTCCCTGAGGCATACAGGAAGAGCTGGCTATTTGGGCCCACCTGCCCAAGCCCTGAGAATGGAAGTGACTATTGATGACACATAGTGACCATAACTTCTCTGGTCGCTATGTGTACACAAGCAGGACATTATTCCATACACACTTACATATTACTCCTGACTTCTCTCCTTGACTTCCTTTAAAATTCCTAGTATACAATGATGTCCCTCTAGGGTACCCAGACTTAATTGACTTTTGGGGGAGCCCAGTCTGTGGCCATACAACCAAGCATACATGACAAGGATATCTGTGTTGAAGTCTTGCATTTGGTGAAGAACAGAAATGTGAGCTTCCATCAGCAAGGAGAAGAGGTTCAATGAATTGTGCTGCAGCTGTACTGTATGACAGTCCTGGGTGAAGTCATGTTTTGCATACTAAAGAAAATACCAGGCTGGTGTGGTGGCATTGCCTGGAATCCCAGCTACTCAGGAGATGTGTAAAAAGACTGGAAAAAAGTGCAAGACCTTATGAGAAAAACAAGCCAAAGCAAAATGATTGGGGGCATATCAAGTTGTAGAATGCTTGTCTAGCAAGCCTGAGGTCCTGAGTTTAAACTCCAATACCACCAAAAAATTATATATGTCAGTGAATCCTCACAACACACTTAGAAGTGGGACAGAATCCTCTCTATTTAACATTAAGGAGAGTGAGGCCCAAAGAGATCAGCTGGTGTCGTGACAAGTGATGTCAACTCCTAATAAATGGGAAGATGTGGACTCACACTCAGAGTTATGGTTTGGATAGGTGTCTTCAAAGGCTCGTGTATCACAGACTTGAACACCAGCCTGTTACTACTGGGATGTGATGGGACCTTTAAGGGGGTGCTCTAGCAGGAGGAAGTTAGGTCATTGCTGTGTGCTCTTGAAGGGGATATTGGAACCCCACTTGGCCCCTTTCTGTCTCTCTCTTTGCTTCCCAGTTGCCAGCAGAAAACAGACCTCTTCTGTCATGTACTTCCACCATGATGTAGTGTGCTGCCACAGGACCAAGTGACTATGGCCTGAAATCCCTGGACCTGTGAGCCAAAATAACCCTTTCCTCTGTATGAGTTGTTTATCTCAGGTAACAAGAAGCCGACTACCATGCTCGATTCAAACTCCTTTGGCCTGTCTTTAACGCCATTCTTCGATCAGAATTCGACTTGTCTTTCCAATGCGATCTCACTGTTCATCCGTCTTCCTTCCTTTCATTCAACATTTTCTGTTGTCTGTATAGCAGAACAAGCACAGGGGCTATGGAGAGAGAAAGAGAGAGTACGTGTGCGTGTGCATGTGGTTTCCTCCCTTGGAATCCTAAGGTGTGCTCCTCGTGGGACTCGATGGGCCTGGTGAGCATGTCTGAATAAAGAGGTGAGACAGGGCTTATTTTCCCCACATTTTGTATTTAACATTTCCTAGAATTCATGGAAAGTTAAAAAAAAAAACAATGTGATGTGCATGACATCTTGTCCACCTGTCTGTGCATCTCTCTCTCTCTCTTCTCTCTCCTTCCCTCTCCACTCCCTCTTCACTCCCCTCCCTCCCTTTCTGTGTGTGAAAATGGTCTTAGATTCATTCAGCCACTTCCCTTTCCACCCACAGCTGTTTCAAATTGTACATTTCACTACTTCCTCTTGTGTCTTTTCAGCTCTGCCTTTCTACCTACCTTTGGAAATGGTGTGTTTGGAGAATTTACTCCTGCAGTGCCTCCCCTCCACTGCCCAGGGAGGCTCTGGTCTTAACCTAAGAGCAGCTCAATGGCTCATTATTCCTGTCATCCCAGGTGGCCTCCAGGAGTGCTCCTTCTGTCCTCAGCAGCAGTTCAGCTGAGGCTTCAGGGTCTCCTGCAGTTGTGTTAAACCCTGGCCATGCTGGGAAGCTGGATCTGGTCACTTTCTATTACTAGCCTTGCTTGGCTCTTAGCACAGATCCTGGCATTGAAGGCTACTAGTGACCCAGTGCTGTTGACTCTCACCAGACTCAGCTCCTGCTTGAGGAGTGCCCTTTTGTGCCCTAGGACAATGCTGAGAAACACAACGTTAGTGACAGCTGATTCCTACTGTTTCTGAAAAGTGCCATTTTGTGACTTTGCCTGTGCTTTGTCTTTATTCCTTCTTCTTTCACAATCTGGCCTCCTGTCACCTCCCCCAGGTAGTCTTCCAGAGATAGTTTCTCCATCCTCTCTCACTTCCACCTCTCACACATTCCTGCCTTGAGTACAGACTAATGGTTCCTGGGGTGAACAGGAAGGGGGGTTCTTTAATGCTGCTGGGTGGAGTTCTGAGTTTTCAGGGCCTCAGGGAAGCTCTCCTCCTGGGGGGATCTTTTGGAACTGTCTCCCCAGGAAATTTCTTGAGATGAGACTTGGAAAACTATGTCCTTCTGTCTGTCTGGGAGGGCAAACTTCAGCTGGCTCATGTCCCACTTCTCTCTCTGTTCCTCCCTGCCCCACTAAAGCTCCCAGGAGAAATGTTATAGGCACTCATTCTTCTTGTCAACAGGAGGGTAACCTCTGGAAAAGCAGTGTGGGGGCCGCGGTGCCCCCTCCCTATTTGATCAAATTGGGCCTAGTGCTTTGTTTTCACTGGGAAGAGAAGCTGAGTTCCCCTTTCTGATTCTTAAGTACTTCATCCTGGGGCCTGACCACGTGGGGAGCTGGCACTGGTACACCAGCAGCCAGCAACTGGGGGAGCCAGCCTTAGCTCATTGGATTGGGTTTCTCCCTGGCTTCAAAGGGAGAAACATTTTTTAGAGCCTAATTCCAATAAGAAAGGAATGTGGTTTTCAGGTGAGCCGCTTCACCCTTGGTGCAGATGGCTTGATCCTTATTCTAGAAAAACACACAGTCTGAGAAGAGGAAAGAGCTCCAGGGCGAACAGCAAGGACATTGACACTGGACAGATGGGAGCTATAATTCCATTGTTGTCACATCAGAGGTTTGTGACCATGGGTGATGAAGGAGCGACCACACCTCCTCCTTCACTTGATGGATGTGAAAATAAACAAAGTAATGGAAGTGAAAACCTTAGTCCCTGGCATGGGACTCATCATGGGTTCTCACCAAATGGTATTTTGACTGTTTCCCAAAGGCCACATGGCTAGGAGTCACATCCATGCATGCTACATATATTTCCTGAGCATCTTCCAGGTGCAGGGGTCTTGGGTCACTGCAGTAAGCACAACAGACATGGTTTTGAGCACTGAGCACAGGCTGAGGAGGGGATCAGCCTTCAGTAAGGCACTGTAACATTGCTTATTTAACTGCAAGTGTGCTAAGTTGTATGAGGGGAAGTGGGGGGAGCAACACAGTTTATGGTGAGGGGACCCGAGCTGGTCAGGGGGATACTGAAAGCTTCCCCAAGGAGGTGATTGTTGAGTTGACATTTGTCTAGATGCGAATGAGGTAACTGAGTGAAAATGG